ACGGATCGGTGGCCGAGGCGGATCTCTGTCTGCTGTGGTTCGACAAGCGCGGAAAGCTGTGGTTTGACGTAAGTAAAGTGGATTTTAAAATTTTTGCGTATTTTTACCCTCTCATTTCAGGACATCAAAACCGACAACGAGTCCTTTGTCCTTTCTGACCTGCAGTCCAACGACTGTCGGCTGATCAAGGTGAAGCGAGATCGAAAAGAACATTCGGTTTTAAGGATCGCCTTTCGCCGCAGTTGGGACACCTGCGACCCGGAGGACTACGTGATCGACGTAATAAGCTTTTAAAAGTTGAACCNTTTCGCCGCAGTTGGGACACCTGCGACCCGGAGGACTACGTGATCGACGTAATAAGCTTTTAAAAGTTGAACCTTCTTTTTAAACATTTTTACTAATTTTTTCCTTTTTTCTATACAGTCAGGCACCACCCACCTCGTCTGGGCCACCGGCCCGGGCCCCCTCGCCCGCATCGAGGCCCTTCGTTTAAAGAACTCCCGGCACGGCTTCACCCGAACGCAGCTCCTCAAGCCGCCCTCCGCCGCCCACCTTCCCAAACTCCCCTACTACATTAAGAAGTTTGAAGTTCGCCATTCGAACATCACCGTCCCACCGGTGGAAACCACCTACTGGTGCCGCCTGGCGAAGCTCCCTGAAGCGGACTTTTCCACCAAAAATCACATTGTCCAGTACGAGGCGGTGATAGCGAACGGCTCCGAGCACCTCGTCCACCACATGGAGCTCTTTCACTGCGAGGTGAACACTACGGAAGTTCCCGAACTTCCGCCTTGGAACGGTCACTGTGATGACCCGGCGATGCCCGCCCCGCTGAAGGCCTGCAAACGCGTGGTGGCCGCCTGGGCGATGGGCGCCTCGCCAATGACGTACCCGAGGCACGTGGGCCTGCCCATCGGGGGGCCCGGCTACTCCCCGTACGTCATGCTGGAGATGCACTACAACAACCCCGACCTGGTGGGGGGCGTGGTCGACTCGAGCGGCATTCGCCTCTACTACACTGACCACCTCCGCCAGACGGACGCGGGCATTCTGGAGATTGGCCTCGAATATACGGACAAGAACTCCATTCCCCCGGGGGTGGTGATGGACCTGCGGGGGTACTGCGTGGCGGAGTGCACCAGGGCGGCCCTGCCCCCCTTTGGGATCACCATCTTTGCCTCGCAGCTGCACACCCACCTCACTGGGGTCAGAAGTTGGACGGAACATGTTCGAGGGGGCGTGGTGGTGGGCGAGGTGAACCGCGACGACCACTACAGCTCCCATTTTCAGGAGATTCGGGCGCTTCCGGTGCCGGTGACCGTCTTCCCGGGGGACGCCCTGGTTAATGTNTTTCGGGATCACAATCTTTGCCTCGCAGCTGCACACCCACCTGACGGGGGTCAGGAGTTGGACGGAACACGTGCGCGGGGGCGTGGTGGTGGGCGAGGTCAATCGGGACGACCACTACAGCTCTCATTTTCAGGAGATTCGGAAACTTCCGGTGCCGGTGACCGTCTTCCCGGGGGACGCNCGGGGGTTACGCTGGGCGGATTTGGAATTCGGGATGAGATGTGCGTCAACTACCTGCACTACTACCCGAAGGTGGGGCTGGAGGTGTGCAAGAGCAGTGTGGATACGGCCTACCTGCGGAAGTACTTCCAGCGGATGAAGGAGGAGGAGGGGCAGAACTGTAGTGCTGAAGGGGCCGTTTCGGATAATTACCGGGGAATTGAGTGGAATGCAAAGAGGGCCGCCGAGCTAGATCGGCTCTATCAGCTGGCGCCGCTGTCGATGCAGTGCAATCGAAGTGACGGGCGGCGGTTTCCGGTAAGTGCAAGCTTTTTTTAAATTTTTAAATTTTATTTTAAAAATTTTCTGTTTTTAGGGCTACTGGAACGGCGTCCCCGTGACGCGGGTGAGCACGCCGCTGAAGCCAAAGGCGCGCCGGTGTCACTGGGCGATGAGGAAGCCGCTACAGGGAATGCTGGGCAGCGGCGGAAGTGGTCGAACTGGCGAGCGAAGGTTGGGCATTCTTGAGGAGGATGATGAAGAAGAGGGTGATGAGGGTGATGGAAATGCTGGAGTTCAGGACGTCGAAGAGGAGGAGCTGAAGATTGAAGGCGCCGGACGGCACAGTCATCGCAATCGCAAGCGAGGAAGGGGCATGTACAAGCGATCGNAGGCGCGCCGGTGTCACTGGGCGATGAGGAAGCCGCTACAGGGAATGCTGGGCAGCGGCGGAAGTGGTCGAACTGGCGAGCGAAGGTTGGGCATTCTTGAGGAGGATGATGAAGAAGAGGGTGATGAGGGTGATGGAAATGCTGGAGTTCAGGACGTCGAAGAGGAGGAGCTGAAGATTGAAGGCGCCGGACGGCACAGTCATCGCAATCGCAAGCGAGGAAGGGGCATGTACAAGCGATCGCTGATGGCTAATGAAACTTTGGAAGATGGAAAGTTAGAAGAGGGGGATGATGGTGGTGAAAAGGAAGAAGAAGAAATGGAGAAGGCTCGAATGCTGGAGATTGCTGCCGAAGTTTAGCAGTGGTGGTGGTGGTAGTAGAAAACTGCTGTAGATAGACTACAAATCATTGCTCTTCTGTTAAACCATTTTTGGTCTGTTTGTTTTGATCGAGAACGATTCAAAAGTAGTGAAGTGCTAAACGCCGCTCAACAGCTAGTACAACAGTAGTTCGCTCAAGAATACAAGTAACCGACTGTTAAAAGTTGACATGAATTTCGTTTTATTTTTTTAGTATGTAGCCAACTTTGCTACAAAAGAATGAAGTGATGACACCTCGGCGGTGGTGGAAACAAGTTATATATATTAATGCAAGGGAAAAGCGATTAGGGAGGTAATTGAATTAGGCGCTAATCGGAAAGTATCAAAGAAGAGCGGTGGTGCACTCAAAGATGGACGAGGCGGTGCCCAGGCTGAATTTGCCCATGTAATGGCGCAGCTCATCATCATCAGGCTGGCCGCTGGTGCTCAGCATGTCCTTCTTCATGAACTTCTCGTAAACGCACCTCTTCAGCTGTTCCCAGCCGTTGCTGTCTTCGCATGGGCTGCTGCTCACCAGGCGGGAGCAGCTGTTGTGCATGTCCTTGATCATCTGGTTCATGTCCTCAGACACCTCGGGGAAACGTCTAGGAAGGTAGGGGTTGGAGTCGTCAAATTTGAGCTGGCCGATGCAGTCGTTGAGGATGGTGGGCCAGACACCGGCGTCCACACCGGAGGGGGCGATCTTTTTACCGAATTG